TTTATGACACCAACTGTCTGCCATCTATAATCCATTTTGAAATCCTTTCCCAGACGCCTTAATACCTACTCACATCCTGGGCCATCTGACCTCAGGAAATCACAATGAGCTCACCCGAAACTTTGGCTGATTGTGACCTACACCTGTTTTTACACCTTGGCTCATGTGATTAGGTAGATTATCATTAGTGGGTCCTTTTGTCCCTCTTGGGGGGACACTCCCACAGAGCTTAAATCTGGGACTCTCCACCATTTGACCCTAGAAATGAAGAAGCTTCTCGGATAAGAGGTGAAACGTCTTCAAGCAACTTAAAGAAGTCCAGATGATTTTCTTTCCAAGCTCCTTAGACTACAATGGCCTGGATGCCTAAGAACCTTCACAGATATTAATGCCAAGGTGTTTTTTGGCAACAAGAAATTTGATTACGTCATACTCAAGCTAAAAACAGAGGAAATGCCACCAGGGCTCCTCGAGAGATTTGGACCTGTACCTTCAGATGGTGAGGCCTGTATAATTGGACACCCAGAAGGAGGAGTGAAAAAAATGGATCCCATATGTATCATTGAGAACCACTGGTTTAAACTCACTGTTGTATGTTATTGCTCCACAATGAATCCCTTGAAAGTTTCAGAAGACTTAAAAACAGTGTCAACATATAAGCACATCAAAAGTGTCCTTTTGACCTTCAGTATTTGTCAGATGTAAATGAAAGCAGAGCACTATAAACCAGATTATTTATAAACCCAAAAAGTTTCCATGTGGTTATGTTTCATTTGTCTGTCACATCTGCACATGGGATTAAAGGTGGGCAGTGACTACAGTTTGTAATATGGAAGGGTTGCTATTACAAAGGTCTAGTCTGTGTCATCATATAATTACTATTACCAGTGAACATGGACTAATATTGTTTTGTAGCACAGTGTGGATCTGTGTCTCGTATGTCATTTATCTTCTAATGCTATGCAATCTACTAACCCTAATTAGTAGGCAGCTTCATCTTGGGTGTTTGATGGTGTTGTGGAATTTTGTTAGATGAAGAACACCTAGTGAGTGTCTTTGAAATGATTTTAATTACATGTTGCAGCATGGAGGGAAAGCTGCTGAGTACGACACCTATGCCGCAGTAAAAACTGCAATAAAACTGTAATGATGGATGTAAATCCTCACACAACACAGCTGACTGTGAGGTCGTTAATAAACACGTTTCCATTTGTTTCGCAGCTTTCAGCTGATGAACAACCGTTGTTTAGTTTCAAAGACACATTGGGGGGGGGGTACTTCCTAAAGTCTGACATGCATCAATCCATCGGCTCAGTGTCAGTGGTTACCATGGTAATTGCAGAAGCTGCTGTGAATTAATCAGCTGGCACTGCAATAACTTATCAGCAATATAAGTATTTATGTTTTTATTACAAAAGACTTGTCTGACTTGGTTAACTTAAGTTAACTTATAGATAATGCTCACCTGAGCTGTTGCCTTGGAAATCTGGACTCGTGTGGAACAATGACAAATTGGCAAGAACTGTACACCACTATACTGAAATATAATAATAGCCTATAACCGAAATACACGTGCTACATGACCCCCAAGCAAATGGCCTTGAGGATCGACCTGTCTTGACTTACTTTACACGGTAACCAGTCAGATGTTAGACAAGCTGCATTGGCAGCGTTAACCCCGCCCCCTGACTTTGATGAGTGAGGCTGACAGATAAAAGGAATTCATGAAACCACATGACATTTGTTCACTATAACTATTGTTGGTGTGATGAAAGACTTGGACAAGGTGTTTGCAATTAGGCATTCTTGGGTAAGTACAGGAAAACCTGCAAAACTAGTTTGGGATAACATCATTGTCACGCATCACCCCACTGTTGCACCACAGGAAAAGTCAGTAGAAACATTTAGAAAGGCGGTACAAAAAACCATTTAAATAGTCCACCACCAACACCTGAAAGTCAGTCAAGGAGCATCAACTGAGGTCGCCTTGTCTTGTCTGATCTCCTTGTGTGAAGCTGAGGTAAGATGCTCATGTTCTTTCTTTATTGAGGAATAATTAGATGGTGTAGAATCTACATGTCTTCAAAAATCTCCTCTTAAAACAGAACAAAAATGTTTGCTACAACACAGAATAAACACCCCAGCCATATTTTTCTTTGAGTTACTTTGTCTTTTAAAATGTTGCCAACACTTTTCATTTAAAACAAACTGATTTGTTTGGGGGGTGGGTGGGTTATATTACTGTGAGCCAAGTTGAACCTTATTCTCTGCTATTCCGTATATGTCTATGTCAGGAAGACAAAGTGAGCTAGCATTGTTATAATACTCAAAATTATTTGCTGTTAAGAAGTTAGGGTCATGTACCATGCTCCTAACAGCTCTTCACCTGCATGCATCAAGTTAGATTTTCTTCCATACTGTACTGCAGTGGTGTGTTTAGCAATGAGGAGCCACTAAAATCCAAATGACTAATACAATGACTGGGATGCGTTACACAGTAACAGGTAACAGTGTACCTGTTACTAAAAAGGCTAAAATTTGGTCAGAAAGGAGCTGATTCAGTGTAAGTATTTTTTTTTACCATGACTCATAACTCTTCATGTATGTTTTGTAGTTTAAAATGTGGTGTATTAGTACTTGAGACTATCCACAGCTGTCCTCCTAAAACGATCATTTCCTTTCAGAATAAATCTGAAAAGAGGGAAGCATCAAGATGGAGGTAAGTGACTGTATATGCAAAATCATGTATTAGTAGCTTCTTATTTGTTTGTGCTGAAATGTTTTGAAGTAAGTAAGTAAATTTTTATGTATGTAACACTTTTGAAAACAAAGGTCACAAAGTGGTAGCCCCCCTCCAAAAAAGAAAATGCTTATACTTTTCTGTAACAACAAACACATGTGCCCAAAAGGAACGATTTTCTAACATGTTTGTATATTTCCTGATATGCAAAGTAATAACATTAGTAATAGTAATAACGTAAAATAAGAGAAACACTGTCTCTTTTAACCCCAACTTGCTCTCTAATGTGTGTGTGTGTGTGTGTGTGACTGTTAGATACAATCACTTACCTAGAAAGAGCATAGAAAAAGTGCTTGTGTGAATGGGTAAATAAGGCAAGTTGTATAAAATGCTTTGAGTGGTCAGAGTAGAAAAACACTGCATGAGAACCAGTTCATTTACAATTTACCATTCAACACCAACACAATAATATCACATAATTTTGAACATGACTCTGGTTTGACCCCCCAAAATCTGTGTGAGTCTGGGTAAACTTTATTCTCCATTCTTATATGGCTTTCATTTATCCAAAGCATGCTAGTTTATTTCACGTCATATCACATGCATACACATACATGTTTCCCTTATGTAGTATAATTAGAAGGCATAGCATACATTTTCACTGATATGCAGATGACACCTTAAAGACCCAAAACTTTAATTTTTGCAGAATCATATAGTTAGGGCTGGGTCAGGTGACCATGAATATAGACCTATGCTGCAATAGTTGTAGGGTGCTGGGGGATTACCATGATCCAGAGACTGTTTCTTCTTCTGTCCCATTTTTACTCACTATGTGTTTATACACCTTATTTCCTTCCTGGTGACAGTGTCATTTTCATTCAAATCAGTTTGAATAAATTAATCATCATACAGGTGTCCTGTTTGTCACAACTTTAAAAAGTAAATGTGAATCTTTTTCTCACTTTGCAGACTGACACACATCCAGTGACAGTGAAGACGGAGAGTGATGAAAACTCGAAGGTGCATAAAAATTTATATAGTAATATTGCCTGTGAAGGTTCTCAGTCATCCAGGTCATCGTAGTCAAAGGAGCTTGCAAAGAAAAGCGTCTGGACTTCTTGCTTTTTAAAGAAGTCCAGACGCTTTTCTTTGCAAGCTCCTTTGACATAGTAATATTGCATTTTTAATATGACCAAACCATCTAACTTCTATTTTTTTCTTTGATTTCAAGATCAGTGGCCAACTGCAAAAGAACATAACAAATGCACATGCTTTAGTCATACATTTAGCACTGCTGAACTGTGCAACACCAAAGTCACAAAAACACGGAACTGTTATTCGTCCACTTTATTATGCGATAAAGTTACAGTGTCCATGGCTAGAACACTGGAGGATGAGTAAATATCCCAAAGAACTGAATCTCTGCATGGAAACCTCTGGACAGATCCAACAACTCTTCAGTGAAGTTCACAGAGTCCGCAAGCTGCTAGAACTGGGAAAGTCAGTTTGTAAAGTCGTTGGCAGTTTTGACATGAAAGTTGATCATTTTTTTGTTGGAACAGGCTTCGTGCTGTTTGACACTTTCATCCTGACTAGCGCACATTACTTTAAAGGTTCTGTTCATGAAAACAAGCTGAAGGAGAATGTAGACGTATTTGCTATTTTTGACTATGAAGATCCTGAAACAGAAACAAATTTCTACTACTTTAGAGCAAAGGATACATTCATTGACTTTGATGCTGATCTAGATTATGCAGTTCTGGAGCTCAACCCTGAAGGCTCAAATCCAACCCTGCAAAAAAGAGCACAGAACATAAAGGTACCACCAGGGCTGATCAGCAAGTTCGGTTCACTGCCTGACAATGGTGAAGCCTGCGTCATTGGACACCCAGCAGGGCGAGTGAAACAAATGAATCCTACAGGTATCATTAAGCCAACGGCACATAACACAGAGCAGGCTGCTCATAAAAAATTAAGAGACTTGTTCATCATCCAACTGATCAGTGATTATGACAGAAAAAAAGACATTGAAAACATATTGTATGATGCAAATACACCAGAAATGGCAAGTAGAACTGACATGTATCACGGTGCCTCTGGCTCTCCAGTGTTTGATGGTTCTGGCAGAGTTTTTGGTTTGCACATTGCAGAATTTACTTATGATTCTGAAGAAGATGAGAGTGTAATTAAGTATGCCCGTCCTCTGGATATGATATTTAAAAACTTTGTGAGTAATCTGAACAACAGTGGAAATAAGGAGCTTTTGAAAAAAGTTGAGAAGGAAGCAGAGAGAAATGAGTTACTGACAAAGGTGTTCAACACAAAGCAGGAGGCTCCTGAGGAGCAAACGGAGGTCAGTCCTTCAGATTAGAAAATCCTCCAGCATAAGGGAAAAATATTTGGTTTGCTCTTAATTTCCAGGTAATAAAATTGTTATACTTTAATCAGGACTTCAGTTGTTAGAAATGACAGAAAATGTTTGTGCTTCTTAAACTGAAATTAACATGGCTGTGATGTACTCAGTGGTTGTCAATTTAACAGTTTTTTGGGGTTTTTTTAGTTTTTTTTTTTTTTTGATTTATAGTTTGAGTTTCATTATTTTATTACTCTTTTTGATACTACATTTGGACATATACTATTTTTTTCTTATTTTGATGTAGGAAAATACTAATGGTTGTTGTTGTTGTTTTATCTTTGTATTTCATTTGTGTTTATTGTGAAAAGTCACCACTGAACAATATTTGGCTGATAATAAATGAGTGAAGCAACACAGTGTACAAAGCAGCTTCTAGTCTGTGTGGTAAAAGGTTGAGAAGAAGTTGATAACAAACTACTACCCTTAATGAGGAACTTACATTATATTAAAACAGTTCTTTACATGGTTAAACACATGCAGGCAGTAAATACAGTTGGGGACTAGGGCAGAGAGCATCACACAAAAAACAAGATATTACACAAGAGCATTACCCAAATGCCTGTTTAAATAGCTGAGTTTTCAGCTGATTTTAAGAGAAGCTACAGAGTCAATGGTGCGGAGAGTTGGGGGTAAATTGTTCTACAGTTTTGGCACTAAGGTTTGAAAAATGTGATCCCCTTTGTTTTTCTGGAATAGCTAGAAGAGCACTATCGGTAGATCTACAGATTCGGTTTGGAGAATAAGGGTGAAGAAGCTAGATGATATTAGTGGGGGGTCTCTCCTCATAAGGCCCTGAAAGTAAAAAACTGTAAGCTAATTGTAACAAAATTTTGAAATTTTTCATTACTGTTGTGCATTTTTAATGTAAACTCATCATGTTTGGCAAAAAAAAAAAAAAAAAAGGTATGTGATGGAGGGAAATTGAGATAATTTTTTGATTCAGCACCCTAAAAAACACACAATTTACTAAAAATAAGAAAAGAATAGAATCTATTCAAAAATGCTTTGTAAAGATATTAAATATAATATAAAGCTCATTGAGGTGACGACTGTTGTTAGTTAGCACTTTATAAATAAAATAAATTTGAATTGGTTTTAAGGAGTTTTCTTTAAGATATACAGTATTTTAGTTTTAGCAGTGTTACTGCTGTTTTGTTGGTTTCAGGCTTTTAAGGATGAAGGACAAAGTAAAGTTCAGTGCTGATCAGGCACTCACATATGTTCACGTGGTGGACACAATTGATCATAGTGAGTTAAAGATTCAATTATACGTCTTGTGAAATAATGTTTGAACTTTATCTTTGAAAGACTTCTTCAGAATTTAAACTAAGGCTGCCGGCTAATTGATAATAGCATGTGTCAATAGAAAATTGTATTTTGTTTAGTCAGCATAAGCTTTTAATGATATAAGTTTATTTGTGATAGAATGCTGCATGATGGTCTTTCCATTGCTCAGAACTGATTGTTCTTTATGAAACATAAAAAATAAAGAGTTTATGTGCAGGTCACAGACTTAAATATGCTCTTCTAGTAAAAATACCTTAAATATAATTCTTTTCAATGAAATTATGTATCCTGAAGTGACCCCAAATATACAAAATAATCAATATGGTCTAAAAAACAAAGCAAGGTTATTGGGATTTTAGTAAACATTGATATGTCTTGAAATTCACATAATGTGAAATAATGTCTGAACTTCAGATTCAGACACTGTTTCAAAAGCTGTCACTTCTGTAACAGCTAGGGCTGATGGTTAATACGGATAATAACCATGATAATGAGTTTATCTACAATTTAGACTTAGACATCCTCTTCTTGGTTATCTGTTTTCGTTGTATGGTTAAGAAAACATAAGACAAATGAAAGATCCACCAAGCATCAGACATTCACGGTCATTGGTTTCTGAACTGAAACAGGTGGCCCAGTCTTAAAAGATTACTTAAATGCCTATATGACCCATGTAGGATTTACTGATAGGGGACCACTCATAAGTAGCTGATTTTTACTTTGAATCATCTCTGAATCTTGTTTTATTATTGTTTTATTTCCAATACAACACTAAAAAAGAGACAGGACTGGCATATTAGGAATATTGTTGGTGGATACCCACATAGTGAGAGAGTTGAAGAGTGAGTTATTTGGGACTATTGTCTATGGCATTAACTGCCCTATTACAATACATTCTCAATAAACCGTGGTAAGAGCAAAACGTCTGGCACTTAAGAGTCTATGTGAATGTTACACTGGTGTCAGATTTTTAAAAGAGAGAGAGAGCTATTGCTAGTGACATTACTTGCTGGTTGGAGACACAAGACCCAATGATGTTGCCAGACAAGATTAAGAGAGAGGGTTCAGGAGATGGACGGTCAGCCACGTTCACCTACCCATAGAATGAAGGAAATGGCGCTGCAGCTGTCTCTCTGAATTCTCTCCAGCTTTGACTAGACACGTCACGTGATGTAAACAAACATGGCAGTGCACTGGGCAGCTTGCTGTCCCGGTGACTGTCCTGGTAACTAGACCGGGACGTAACGCACACCGCCTGGTGGAGAGGTTTAATAGGACACTGGCCAAGCAGCTAGCCATCCTTACCTCAGAACACCAGTGGGGCTTCCATCTTTCCCTCACCCTCATGGCCTACAGGTCAGCAGTCTAAGACTCCACCCAATGCACACCTGCCCTGTTTAGGGAGAGAGCTGAGTATCCCTGCCAGGCTGGCTTTCATCAAGCCCCCTGACACACTGGAGGCACCACCAGGCCTGGACTACTCGAGGAAGCTGCAGCTGGCAAAGGCAGGACTGCGCCAAAATAGAAATTCCAACAACACTACTAAGGGGAGGCACTTCCATGATGGAGAGCTGGTGTGCGTCCAAAGAGAGGAAAAGGATGTTATTTTAAACTGGATAGCCACTCAATGGGGCCCTGCAGTGTCCTGGAATGAGTTGGGGAAGTGGTTTACAGGGTGCAGTTGCCTCCTAGAGGTGGAAAGTGGTGTTGCACAGAGACCGAATGGCCCCTTATAGAGGACATTCTCTTCCTCCTTTCCTTGAAGCATTTGTGCAAAGCCCCCATACCCCTCTACAGATGGACTTCCAGCAGGTGCTGCCTTCCCCTCCTTCAGGTTTTCCCCTCTAATCCGTATAGCTATTTCTACCTCTCAGAGACTCAGGAGACCTAAGAGCCAACGCAGACTACACCCCCAGCTCAGAGAGTGTGTTTTCACTCGAGGACAAGAACTTATTGTTGGCGAGGCAGTGTGATGATCCTTAAGGTGATTTTCTTGTGATGTGTCCACTATTTCTGTTGCACTGTTTCCACTGCATTAAAAAAACATTGAGTGTGTGCTGGATGGGGGGAGAGTTAGTTACTGGAGCTGGAGAGTCAGTTGTTTGGGAGGATTCTCCCCAGCATTAACTGCCCTCAGTAAATTGTACGACCACAATAAGCTGTGGTAAGAGTAAAATGTCTGGTCCTTGAGAGTCTATGCGAACGTTACACTGGTATCAGATTTAATGCATGTCCATTTGTGTGTCAAACACTGTCAGCTTTTAGATGGTATTTAATGCTTTAGTATCACAATAAGTATCATTGCATGTCCTTTCCT